CTCCTCCCTCGGCCATGGGAGGGACACCTCCCACCATCCCAGGCTGCTCCAAGCCCTGCCCAGCCTGGCCTTGGGCACTGCCAGGGATCCAGGGGCAGCCACAGCTGCTCTGGGAAATCCATTCCAGGCATGGATTCCACAATTCCTAATTCCCAATCTCCCATCCAGCCCTGCCCTGTGGCAGTGGGAGCCATTCCCTGTGTCCTGTCCCTGCAGGCCTTGTCCCCAGTCCCTCTGCAGCTCTCCTGGAGCCCCTTCAGGCCCCAAAAGGGGCTCTGAGGTGTCCCTGGAGCCTTCTCCTGTCCAGGTGAGCAGGCCCAGCTGTGCCAGGCTGGCTCAGAGCAGAGGGGCTCCTCTGCACTCATTCCCACAGGGCAATGCCTGTCTTGTGCTGGGAACTGAGGAAGGTGACAGTCTCTTCCCTGCCCTCCTCCACAGGAGACTGAGCAGTGCCACAGCTCTCCTCCCCAGCACCAACCCCCTGGGAGCAGCATTTGTCCAACCCCCACCAGCAGAGCTGCTCTGACACAGCTCCAATTCACACTTCAGCTCTGAACTGCTGCATTCTCCCTTCTCTCCCAGGCTGCTCTGGCAGCTCCTCAGCAGGGAGGGGGAGCAGCAGAGCCTCTCACTCTCTTACTTTGGCCTGGTTGGAGCAGTCGTAGCGCATCCTCTGCCTGTTCTTGTTCATTTTGTTCATCAGCATCTTGCCCGTGCGGAAGTCGAAGGTGCCCAGGTCCATGGAGCTGCCCAGGTACCGTGCCAGCTGCGGCTTGCTGCGGAACTTCTTCCCACTGGGGCTGCAAGAAACACACCAGGTGTCCACCCCCGGGCACACCCCCACCCCCTGCACCTCAGCAGGGAGGGGTTTGATTGCCATGCTCAAAAACACAGGCTGGACTTTGCAGAATGGAGCTGACGTTCAGCTTTGAAATGTTTTCATATTGACTGCTTCTCATGTGGAACACACAAATTAAGTTAAAATGGTTTTGTATGTCAAGAGGAAGATTCAGATCAGATAAACAAATGTAGCATAATGCACACAATAACCATCAAGGGAGATCTCAGCACAGATGCACTTTTCATTCAGCTGTCTCTCATAGTAAATGCACATTTTCAAGTATAATTTCTTCTCTCAGGACTCTTGCATTTGACCAGCACCAAAAATGCTCCTTGTCTGCTCTCCCTGCGCCTTGAACAGCACATTCAGGTTTGATTCTATGTCTTTTGTAGCACCCTGAAGACTTCAGAAAAAGAGAAACCCAGAAGTTAACTACTGACAAGCTGCAAAGCAAAGAATCCAAAGTGATGCAAAGATAAATGTCAAAACCTTGTAAAACTTTCCATTAATGGCAAAAGGGAAGAGAGACTCTTCTGTAACACCTGGGTTTCCACAAAGACTCAACCTGGAGAGCAGGCATAAATTATTCCAAATTCTTACTGATGTTTTCTTTGGGGTTTTGTTGTATTTTTTGTTTTAGTTTGTTTTTTGAGGAGGTTTTTTTTGTTTGGTTTTTATTTGTTTGTTTGGGTTTTTGTTTGTTTTGGGGTTTTTTTTCTGGTTGTTGTTGGGATTTTTTTGTTTTGGTTTGGTTTTTTGGGGGATTTTTTTTTTTATTAATCCAACATAAGCTATTTTTTTATTCATAAAGTAACAATAAACTACTGTGTAGTGGCTGCAGTGTAGGACTGTAAAGACAATAAGCACCAAGTATTTTTCACCTTTTCACTAAGCATCATAACAACACCTCTTTATTCTGTCAATTACTTTCACTTCTGGTTTTCTCTGCTTTGCAACTTGCATATTCAGCCCTAGTTCACATCCAGGAGAAGCTTCCCTGTATATCCATCCCACTATCACAGGTTAATGGGCTGGAAGGCATTTTAAGACCAAAAATGCCAGTTACTCCCTTATCTCACACTGGTGAGATACTGATAACCTTTACCAATGTCTAAACAACAAAACAAAACAAAAGGAAAAGTCAATGTTCACATATTGTCTCCTGCCCTGAAGCTTTATAAGGGGAAAACCAGCATGAGCAGAGAATTTCTGGTATAGGACAGTGACAAAGCAATTAGGTTAAGTCAGGCTGTGCATGAAAAAAATAGATTAAAAGAAAAAGAAACCCAGAAAGTACCCAAGTATTAAAAGGTCTCCAAAAACTGAGATCAATTGAATATAAATTACACTGAAACTGAAATTACAAAAAGTCTCTGGAAGGAGTTAAGTCTGAAAGGTTGTGGTGATCCCACACAGCATCTGCTGAGGAAGCTCCTGGCTCCAACTGCTCCCAAGCTGCTTATCCTGCCTGGATCTCCTCCCTGCCACCACCACTGCTCACACAAATGAACCAGCTGAGGAAAATAATCCATCTTTGGAGGCCAGGGGAGGAGGAGGAAACACTCCCCCACTGGTTATTCCTCAGCTCCCTGTGGAGCTGCACTTGGGCCAGGACACAACACAGAGCAGGACCAAGGAACAGAGGCTGTGTCCAGCCCAAAATTCATGAATAACTTTTTCAAACTCTAAACGGAGTTATTTGCCTCAATCCAGAGAGAGGAATAACCAACTCAGCAGCTTTAGGGCAGGGCTGTTGCTGCCAGTGAAGCCAGGAAGAAAAGCTCCTGCTACACGAAGAACATGGCACTGCTTCCTCTTCCAAGATCTGCTGCTCTAATTTAGGGTTTAGTGTCTTAGCAGGTTTAAAAATAATGCATTAAAGTGCAGAGTAACTTCCAGAACAGTCAGTACAGTCAAAGACAGGATTTTAAGTGAACAGAGCCCTTCATCTCTGTGTGTTTACTATGTGCTGTGGTCATTTTGCAAGGAAGAACTGAAAAGCTGCTCAGAGTCTCAAAAAACCCACCTGAAATGACTGAGAGTCCTGTCTCTTCCTGGGGAAGCTTGGCCCAAAGGAAAAGCACTGAAATGTTCAGAAGAAAAACTTTTATTCTGATTAGGTCTTGCAAAAGGCAGGATCATCCCCAGGGTCTCTGGGACAACAGCAGGCCAGGGAGCAAAGCTATGAGCAAAAGGTGACAGGGAACTGAGACAGGAAGGGATGGGGTGCCCTGGAGCTCCTGGGGACCCTCTGGCAGGACCATGCAGGACATTGGGGCACCTACACACACCTGGGAGGGTCAGAGGTGTGGGGGGAGCCACAGGAACCCAAAACTCGAGTGGGATTCCTGATGCACACCAGGACACACAGAAACACCCCCGGTACCACAGAACTCTGAGCGCTGTTAAAGTGACTTTAAACGTCACGAAATACAGAATTTACCTCCTTCTGCTCCTCCTGCACTCCTGGTTTTGCACAAAGGGGCCCAGAAACGAGACATTTTGGTACAAAGCTGCAAAGCCCAACCTCTGCTCTGTAACACCCCCAGGCAGTGACGCTGAGGGCCCCGGATTGATCCTGAGCTCCCAAATGAGGCTGTGCCACAGCCCCCTGTGTGAAAGGCCGAGCTGCAAAGGAGTTTACAACTTGCAAAGGATTTGCCACGCTCGTCCATCACCAGCTCCGGGGCTTTATTCGCTTGGGCCGCCTGGTTCTCGCTAACAAAACAGACCTGGCTGCCGGAGCCACCGCAGCCACCCCCGGCTCTCATTCCCAGACTTTTGCGGGCAGATTGAGCCCGTTCGGGGCAGCCCATTGAAGGGCCAGGTGTCCCTGCGCTCCATGTGCAGCTCAGCCTTTGTTTCCTGCCTTATATCCTTAAGGAGAGAGCGGCTGCCCAGGCCCTCTCCCCTCCTCCCTCATCTGAGTCTCCTCCCCTCCGCTCTCCCATTTAGCCCGCACAGGATCTGCACAACTTGGGAAGCGAGGGACAAAAGGCAAAAAAAAAAAAAAACCACCAAACCCTGAGCAAAGCCAGCCACCGCCTGCCTCAGGAAGGAATGGAGGCAGGGACAGCCCAGGAAAACGGGGCACTGAGAGCAGACACTCAGAGCCTTGTGTCCTCGCTGGAGGGGCAAGGGAAGAACACAAAATGATTCTCCTTCTTGCTCCCTCCCTCACTCCTCTCCCCAGCTCTGCTCCAGGCAAATCCCGGTACCGGGGGCTCCTGGAGAGCTGCAGGAGATACCCTCACAGGGAGATGGGGACACTGCACGACTACAGTGCCAGCACCTCTGTCACAGCACCCTCAGTCACCCCTGGATGCAGCACCCACAGCCAGCCCTGCCCCGGGGTCCCACACTCAGCTGGGCCACCCCGGCATGGGCTGGCACGGCCATGAAAACCATGAAAACCACACCGGGCCAGGGGGTGACACATCCAGGTGTCACAGAGCACCCCACAACCCTACACAGCCACAGCCCCACCCCAGGGAGCAGCCCCGGGGACCTGACCTGGCCCTGTCCCCGTGGGGCTGTCCCAAGGGATGATGTCCCCAAGGGATGATGTCCCCTTCCCTGCAGGGCAACAGGGGGGTCCTCGTTCAGCAACTTGGACTCCAACCATACCAAAAATAACCCCCCAAAAAACTCCAAACAAAGCACTTGGAGACACACAAAATCTCCCCAGATTTCCAGAAGCATCACATCCCTAAAGGAGAGCCCAAATGGCAGCTCTGTAACACCGGGACAAACACAATTACAACCAGATGATTTTGCAGGGCTCAATTCAGGCATGATGGAATTGTTAAGGATGGAAAAGACCTTTAAGCTTATCAGATCCAACCATCACCACCATGTTCACCATTAAACCATGTCCCCAAGTGTCACATCCACATGTTTTTTGAATATTTCCAGGGATGATGACGCCACCACTGCCCCGGGCAGCCTGTTCTAATCCTTTCCATGAAAAAAATCTCTCTAATACCCAACCTAAAAGTCCCCTGGTGCAACTTGAGGCTGTTTCCTTCTCATATGAGAAATTATGAGCTTCCCTGCAGGCAAACCAGAGCAACAGAGGAAAAGCAAAGCACAGACTCTGTGAAAGCATTTTGCTCCACAATTTTTTCTGGAAAAGATTGTACTGATCAAAATATCTTTGGAGGAGTGTTAAAAACATTCCCTTCCAACTTTTTACATTTGTGCTGCAAAGGTAAGGAATTCTCAACAAAATAAGTTTCACACAAGAGTGTGAAGTTTCCCAGCACAGTGATGTCAACATCCTGAGGCACAAACCAACAGTGATCCCAAATTTCTGACACTTGGCCATCAAACCTTCGGGAGAAAAACACTCTGCAGAAAAAAAGCCCCACAAAGCAGCACTAAATTCTCCTTCCCTCATGTGAGAACCCCGAGTTTGAAGAGAGCCAGAACTCCCTCAAAGACAACCTGCCGCTTTGACAAAATCCCTGACTCGATTTTCTTCCTGCAATCCTCCATTCCTGCACTTCTGCTCACTCCAAATCCAGCCCACCCTCTCAGCCAAAACCCTCCTAAGGATGAGGTTCGAGGACTGGCTGTAAAAACCTGTCCAGGCACTCAGACCTGGAGGAAGATGGAATTTCCAGCCAGAGACTGGCTCAAACACATCTCACAGGGAGTTTTCCACAAACCCTCCCTGCATCTGTACGTGCCTGGGAGCTGGACAGAACAATCGCCCAGGTAAACAACAGGCAGAAGTCCCACAGGTATTACTGAACTGCCACACCTGCATTTGCCACTCTGAGGTAATGCAAAATGCAACAGAAACCAAAAATTAGCGCAACAAAGCTCTATTCTACCTTTGATCTCTGTCCAAATTGATACAAAGGGAAAACCCATAATAATTTGGGAATAAAAATATGCTACTTATCCTCTCTTCCCCTTTTTTTAAAGTTCATCTCCGACACTGCAACTTAACAAACAAGTTCTGGGACAAACAGAATCTCTGAAGCTTTCAGCTGCTGCTGGTGGTCTCATCCTGCCCTCAGCCTCCGAGCTGCAGCAGCAGAATCGGCTTCACGTTCTCGAGGATGGCACTTTCTGGTTCACTCCCCTTTTCTCACAACCATAACCTGATTCTAAAAATGAAACCTGGAGCTAAAGCTGTGTCTGTCCCACCCCTGGAAGTGTCCAAGGCCAGGTTGGACGGGGCTGGGAGCCACCCGGTCCAGTGGAATGTGTCCCTACCCATGGCAGGGTGGGATGAGATGGGCTTCAAGGTCCCTCCCAAACCAAACCGTGCTGGGAGGATCCTGTGTCAGAGGCAGAAGTTGAGGGTTTGGATTTTCCCGACAGGCAGGGCCAGGTGAGGACACAGGGACAGCTCCTGCTGCGTTCGCAGCTCCCGCTGGATGCGAGTTTCACACCTCAGCCCGCGGGGGCCTCGTGGGTGCGGGGAGGATCCATATGGCCACCTACAGCCATATGAGCCATGCAGGGCTATAAATAGCACCCCTCCAGCTCCGGGGCCGTGCGCTCCCCCCGCAGCCACACTCCC